CTCATGGTTGCTGTCTCCCAGCTTCCCTTCGATCATTAGGCCGCTGATTAAGTCATTCCCCGTTGCCAGTACCAGGTCAAGCAGCACTTTGTCTCTTGCTGGTCCATGGACTTCTCGAGTCAGAGCTCATCCACACACGAGGAAGCTTTGCAACCATTCGGATGTGGCAGAGTGCTCTTCCCACGAGATGTCAGGGTAGTTGAAATCTCCCACGACAACCATGCACCGGGAGCATGCAGCCTCAGCTAGTTCCCCGGCAAATTCCTGATCAAGCTCTTGTCCCTGGCTAGGAGGTCTGCAATAGACCCCCACCATTGTGTCCCCTGTGCCTTGTTCACCACGGATTTTGACACAGAGAGTTTCCAATCATCCCCCCTGGGTGCCAATGTCAGCTTGCAGGAACGCGTAGCTTTCCCTGACATAAAGAGCTACCTCCCCATCCCTTTTGCCCACACAATCTCTCCTGTACAAGGTATAGCCATCTATACCTGTGGCCATAGCCATAGGTGGAGTCCCACCTGGTCTCTGTTATCCCTATGAGATCATAATGCTTTTGGTTTAGCAGGAGGACCAATTCCTCCTGTTTGTTCCCCAGGCTCCTGGCATTGGTATACAGGCACATATGTGTCCCATTGGGGGCCCTTGCCTTTCCTACAGATTGCTCTAGGGCTGGGGTAGGGGTGGGTTCGCTTGAGTGCCTTAGCCTGCTGGGTTTACAAAAACTGCCCAGTGGGTTGCAGTGGCGGTACTTACTCCATCCCCCAGCGGGCTCAGTTTAAAGCCCAGTCGTGCAGGTCAGCAAGTCTAGCTGAGAAAAGCCTCTTCCCCAGCATAGTGAGGTGGAGGCCATCTCTTCCCAGCAGCCCACTGCCTCTCTCACCAAAGAGTGGGCTGTGATCGTGGAAGCCGAAGCCTGCATGATGACACCAGCGCTGCAGTCTCTGGTTGACTACCTCAAGCTGTCTCTCCCTCCTCAGACTATGACCCACAACCAGGAGGAATGAGGAAAAGACCACCTATGCCCCCAAAACCCTAAGCCCCACTTTCAGAGCCCTGTAGTCTCTCATGACGGCTGGGATTGTTCCGAGCCCTGTTGTTTGTGCCCACGTGGATAAGGAGCATAGGGTAGTGGTTGGAGGGCCAGAGGATCTTTGTGTAATTTATGTAAGCCTGAGGTATAACTTCATATACATCTCATTAAGGCACCTGGACCATAACATAAAAATGCTCCACAGCCTATTTTTGGTTTCAGATTTGCTGGAATGATGATCAATGATGAATAGCAAAGAATACACCTTCCTGATCTGATGCTGTCACTTGCTTTACTTTAGCAGTCTACAAGGCACTAAAAAACACACAGGTGCCAGTTCTATAGTTTGAACTATTAAAGCCAGATACTGTCATCTTGGTTACTTACCAGTTAAAACCACTTTTCCAGAAACAAAAATGAGCAGGACAATTCTTGGCTTGATCATTCTGTAGATTAAGCCAGGAAACAGCTCTGGCTCGTAACTGGAAAGAAAGCAAAAAATGGTCAAGCAACCACTATGGAATTCTAACAAGTGAACCAGGGTCACTGATGAGGCTAATCCTTCTCATCCTTAGCAATGGAAGCTGGATTTTCCTGGCATAACTTCTACAGCAAGTAATGGATAGTTTCAAACCAGTCGCACACAAGAGAAATATACACACAAGGAATTAGCTATACAAATTGAAAGTCAACAAGTTAATAATTAGAGTTTAATCAGTTAACTTTTGCCTCTTGAATTCTAAACTTGTGTTTGCTCTGTCATCATTTCTTGTGTGTGTGTCATTTAATCTGAGTCAACAGGAGTTAAACAGTTTTTTTGTCTATTTCAGACACATGGAGAGACTGTGAAGGTTTCTGCACTTATTTAATTCAATACCCAACTTTGTATCCTTACCTGCTCTCCACACCACAACCTCCCCAATACTGAATATTTCTTGCTAATTTTCTGTTTTGTTCATTTTACAATATAATCTGTGTCTGCAAATTTCCCCAAAAACATTCCTGTTGACAGGCAATTCCACCCATCTCAAGTTCTGACATGGGTTTGGGTATCTAACAGACTGGCTGCATTTACTTCTATCTGGAAGACCAGAGATGTACAGTGAAAGGTGACTCCACAAAGCTTTTAAGACAGTAGCAGGGAGGACTGTTTGGATGAATTAGTATCTTGGGGAAGCTGACCAAACAAGAGGCACAGGAACAAGGGGAATAAAACTGTAGGGTTCTCCCTATCAACAAAGAAACATTTATGCAAGTTTTACTGAAATCTCACCCACTGATCTTACATACATCAGAATGCAATTGAGAGCTTGTTAATTATTTCTTAATCTTTTATAAGACCCCGGGGTTCTGCTGCTGCCGCACACAACTTAAATAAAAAGAAATGTAGTAAGTTAAGCCTCTCCCATCTCATCCTACCAACATCTCAATATTGTACATTATGAAGCATTCACACAAAGACTCAGCTCAGGGGACTTCTTTCTTTCAAAATACTTCTACAAGGAGCAGAAGGCAGCAAGAAATGAATAGTGTTAAGCCTTTTATTTACCTGCTGAACTGTTGGTGTGTAAGTACCAGTCCCTCTAATCTGATAGGAAATTTCACATCACAGCTTCCCACCATGTTCTGAATCTTAAAATCCAAGAATTTTGCAGGAAAGCCCAGTTTCTGCACAACTCTGGCATATTTTCTTGCTGCCAATCTGGATTGCTCTTCACTGGAGGGAGAAGAAACCACCATTTTATTTTCTCTGGCCAATATCACAGAAGTAATCAGCATTAAATGTAAATATATATCATAGAGAAAAGCTGAAGGAGATGGAGTGGTTAGAGATGCATCCTGAAATAGGCAATGTTAGGAACTGCTGGAATCCGTTTCTAGCTTAAACTGATAACTTGCTTTTAGTTCTTTTAATGCCTTGTCAGAAGCCTGAGAGTCAATTCACATTTTACTCTTTATGCAGCCAGACTGTCATTCTACCCAACTCCCCTTGACAGCATACCCATCATGCTCCCCTGCAGTCTTCAAAGCTTGGAAAATATAAAACTTTTCAATTAAAATTCAGGGCTGGTCAGGAATATCTTAAGTGCTTTTATTGGAAAATGCTGAAACATTACAACCTAATTTTAATGAGAAGGTACAAATCCTTCTACCCAGATCAGACCAGGAACTTATGCCTCGGTTTCCCCCATCCCAAATGACCACCCTAACCAGCAAGCTATTTGCTATTGAAATGCTGTCCCCTCCTCAAGCCTCCAGAAGGGAATGAAATTTAAAAGGTGTCCAGTTAGGCTGAGATGCTGAACAAGAAAACTTGTGTTGAGGGAACTAGCTGGGGTTATTGCAGGGCCCTCGGCACGGCTTTACGAGTGCTCGTGGTGCTCGGGCCAGGTGCCAGATGACTGGAAGATAGTTAACGTGGTCCCCATCTTCAAAAAAGGGAAGAGAGAGGACCCGGGCAACTATAGGCCTGTCAGTCTTACCTCTATCCTTGGGAAACTCTTTGAGAAGATCCTCAAGGAGCACATCTGCGATGGGCCGGCTTCA